ATAGACACACAGACAGACAAACAGACACACACACACACACACACAGACAGACAGATAGACACACACACAGACAGACAGATAGACACACACACACACACACACACACACACACACACACAAGCACACGCAAATGCATCACATGCATATTTATTTAAGTTTATTAGTTTCATATGGTATTAGTTTTCAATTATTATATAAAATTCTTATAATGCAATTCTTATAATACAATTGTTATATGAAATTCTTATATGACATTTTATATGCAATTTTTTTGGCAGTTAATAAAGCTTAAATTTAAGCCTAAATATTTTTAATGCATTTCTTTTCAGTCTTGCTTCAGAAATCATTTGCAAGTTAATAAAGCAAAATAGTAAAGAAACTACTACCAGAGTTCAACGAAATCACAACAGAGCAACAGCACAGAAAACAATATCAGACCATCATCAGCATTAAAAACATACAGTTATGAAATCACTCACAACCAGAATTACAAAAACACGAAGCATGGCCCAAACAACTCAAGGCTCAAATAAAATCAGATGTGTCTTTTGTTGAAAAATCCCAAAGAGGTTTTGTGGACTCTCTCTGCATCTGCTCCCCTGAAGCCAAACTGAGCTCGTTCACTGATAATTGAGCTGATTTACCTGCAGATCATGGCAGAGATCCAGAGCTGTAAGAATCTCCAGATATCTGATTAACTTATTTATTCATCATTTTGAGCCATATCAGCATAAAAAACTATATTTATGGGAAACTCGAGAATAAGAGAACTTCAATTGTATATAATAACTTAACAATATTACCATTAATAAATACATATTACATACAATATTTCAAAATCAGGTAAAAAAACAAAACTTATTATAATTTAAAGGAGGACTCTTTAATTAAATGTGTTTTACAAAATTCACATAAAGGCAATTATTCCCCTTTTAATAAATATATACATGTCTAAGTCTTGTGTGACCAATTCTACATCTTGTATTTACAGTCATTTCTATTTTCAAAATGAAACCAATGATTACATCTTTCATTTATAGCTGGATTCACTTTATTAAATTTGTTATGGATACATTCCTTAAACAACAATTAACATTCAGAAATATTATCAATTTAATTACACCGACATTTTCAGATGAGAACAAACTGAACTGAATAGATCTGAATAATGACTCTATTGTCTTCTGTAGAGCTGATTTACAAATTCAATTGAATTAGTTTAATAATTTATGAAGTTTGCATCATTGATTCTGCGAAGCTGCTTTGAAACTATCTGTATTCTATACAGTGCTATAGAAAGAAATGTGACTTAGCTTTTCATAAATGCATGAAGTCATTCTAAAATACAATTAATTTACTCATAAATATCAGAGGAGCAACGAAAGACTCTCTTTGCATGACTGAAGTGTAATAATGTGACTATTGCACAGGCTGCAGTTTCATTCGTATGATTTCTGCCCTCCAGCTCTTCTATGAGGCCCAGATAATTGTGATGCACTTTTA